TACGACCCACTAATGACTCTTGGCATGCAAAATGGCATATAACAATTCTTGATGATACAACCCAGGCAAAAACAGAAAACTAACCCGGAGATAATACTTACCCATACCCAACAAGATTTCAAAGTAATATAAATACTTATAATAATTAAGAGGAAAGCAAAAGATAACATACCCGCGATAACATCTGATGAAATCTTGATCTCCCCTTCCTGTCGAAGCACCTGCGATGGAACCTGAGCTGCCCCAACCACTACGCATGGGAAATTCGCCCGGATATGGCCAGGCTGATGACAACGATCACAATTCTACCTCCAGGGTTCACTCTTCGCGGAGGTGGCCCTTCCATCCACACCTGTCACATTTATACTTTTCGCGCACACGCTCATGTGCCCCTTCATCCTTCGTGCAAACATCATGGCCCCTTGGGTCTCTAACACTAGCCATGGCAACATCCAACTACTCAGATCGCTCAGACCATGAGTGTGCGTCTTCTTCTCCCATCTCTTATCCAAACCAATCTCCTGCTACTGAGTTATCTCAACCATCCCATCAACCGCCTGAACAGCCAATGTCCGACCCTCGAACCTGGCGACCAATCTATCAGTGACATGACCAATGATGTCGGGTAACTCGCGTAAAGCACGTGAAACCTCTGTGGTAATCCAATCATGGGATCGATCCTCCTGAAAACATGACGCATAACCTACCTCTGATCCCATATGACAAGAGCTAGCAGTAGGATCCCTCTTCCCGAAGGATTCTATAGCTCCACAAGCTTTGGGCCCCAGATGAGCCCCCAACTTTCCTGCTACAATCTTGGTCTAAAAAGCCTCAATACGACCATCCAAGAGTTTCGAAATCCCCTCCTTGAAAGATCACATGAGCCCACTCCAAAATACAGCGGGTAATCTCCGACGAGATGAACTCCCGCATCTGCTCATCGATCGGCCCAATACCTACACCTAAGCCTGAATCCGAACCCGAGCCTCCTTCCCGAGTGCTCATCAGTAATCTAAAACAACAACCATACAAATGATCAGGACATATCCAAGAATCCTCATCCCACCGGCTTCCTAGATTCCCCAAGACTCTCCCTAATTCGAGTATGGATCGTGTGCTTTCAGTAGTACGGGCCCAATACTACCTTCCACACCTATCCATACTTTCCACAAGAATCATCTCGAGTCCTCTAAGTCACCTTCTCAACTGATACTCCAAATGCTCGCTAAACAGCACAACTAAACCCACTAAAGCACTTCCTAAGCTTTCCTAGGTTTCCGACCTGACCCTGCCATCAGCTGCTGAAGAACTCCCCATAATGTCAGTTACCCACCTCATGAATACAATCACATGCAACAAAGCTTAGATAATCCTTCGAGTAAAATACTCGTCCCTACAACGGTTAGACGCAGATGAGAGCTACGCAATAGGGTCAAATCTGTCACTCTGAGATTATCCAAACCTTGTCACATGTGAATTGACATATTCACTTAATAGCTATCTCACATCACTTAAGAGTTCCACAAAGCACAAAGCAAGCAGCGTTCGTGCAGTAGCACTCCAATACATAGAATTACCAAGAACATCCAAACTCACATACCACAACTCATGCTAGGAACTTCCACTCTCACTTCCGATTGCTTTACGCATGCAAATTATACATAATACATGATCAAATAGACTGTCAAATAAAGACTCTACCCTAGGACAAAAACCAAACGAGGAACATGAAATAAGGCCAAATCAATCATTCTAGGGCTATATGATCCTAACCGTATACAATTTTAAAGCATACACTTAGCAATCCATGATACCAATACATATTCCCAATCTAGCATCCCATGCTTCATAGGCTACAAGGCATCACATATCAGGCCAATCTATCACTCACTGATCAGTACTAGCATGCAAATCTACAAGCGCATACAGTAGGCATACAAAGGCATCTCTCCTAGAATTCTATCATACAAACACTGAGCAAATCCTTAGCTCTAACTAACATGCGCATCATATATTCATAAAATCAAATCATATCAGATAACATGTATGGGTATTTTGGGAAAACATACTTGAGCTCGGTCGATTGCATGCATCACACCCTTTCTTGTATTAGAAACCCCTTTTTCTTAAAAAAAATTCCTTTTTGAAATTTTTTTACCGAATCCTCAGTTTGAGTTCAGACACACCCGAGAGTATGTCCGAATCCCTCAAACTAAGGCTCTGATACCAACTTGTAACGTCCAAAAAATGTGACCCAAAAATTTCGTTTTAAAATTCTATAAAACAGTAATCCAAACACTTTCATACAACCAAGAAAGACCAAAGTGTATTACTACATCACAAATATCAGAGTAAATCTCAAAATGCGGAATAAAGTGGTGTGTGCTCTGCAATCATCCTGGACTCTTACCTTTCGAATCGCAAGTGCCTGAAACACAAACTGAAAACCGTAAGCACAAAGCTTAGTGACTTCCCCAAAAATACCCCATACCATACATATCAAACACATAATGGGCCCCGCCCAGCATCGGGCTCCTCTCGATATACAGATCTGTCAAACAACGGGCCCCGCCCAATGAGTGTAACGGGCCTCACCGTAATGGGCCACGCCCACTGAGTATAACGGGCCCCGCACAACATACAACACATAATCATACTAACACATGTGATAATCACAAAGATAATAACATATAATATGGTCATAGGGCCTCGCCCGACATCGAGCCCCACTTGACATACATACCAATGCATACACATGCAAGAGTCACGCAAACATCTAGCATCTTAACATAATAAACCATAGGCCAGTATTGATCCCTTCGACCCGATAACACACAGTGAGGAAAGTCACCTCAGAATGTTGAATCCCACAGATAAATCTCTGGCTGTTGGTCCGCTAAAATCCTCGTGCTATCAATCACAAAATAACATCCAATTAATAATTGGATCTTGACTCACACTAAGAGTCCAAGCTAGGGTAAAATACCTTTTTACCCTTTACCGAACTTGGCCTAAGGTCAAGGCCTAAGCCAACTATCCCAAAGGCCTAAATTCCAAAATGATTACCAAAATCCTAAAAATAGAATTCTAATGGCCCAACAAAGCCCTAGACTCCTAAGGTCCAACATGGCCCAAAAACAAAAAGCCCAAAACTCCAAAGCCCACTGATGAGTACATGGGGTGTACTCAGCTAGTACGCTTAGCATACACGCTCTAGGGCTAATATGTGCAGCGTACTCCCTAGTTGTCCAAATTTCACCATTACGCTCTTATTCGCTTAAGACTTCAACCCAACTCTTATATCTGACTTCTATAAGGTCGCTTATCACGTAAAGTTGGAAACTTTACGTGTATGCATGGATTAATGGGGTTCTATAGCTCAAAAGAACTTAACAAAGGGTCTTAACACATGCAAGAGTCCATAAACACCTCAAAGCTTGCATTTTATGGACAAATGGACCAAAAGAACCCTAGATTTACCACCAATCACTTCTGGAGCGAATCAGGAAGCTCATCCATCACTCCAAGGGCTCAAAAAGCACAAAATAGCAAAATAACTAAATCTAGCATCATAGATTAGCAAAATGGGAGTTTTTTACCTCAAAAGGTTAGCAAATGATGAACTAATATCGGATCCTCAAGCTCCAAGAACAACTCCAAATGGTCCACTTCTTCTCCTTCACAAAGCACCAACAAACACACTTTATGGCTCAAAACTCTCAAGAACTCACTAGGGTTTCGATTTCTGGACAAGGGAGGGTGGAGATTGTCTAAACATGACCAAATGAAGCTATCTAACCATGACCAAATAAAGTTATCATAAGGCTTAAATAAGGTGCAATACCCTAGGAATTAGGGTTTCATAATGCCCCCTTAGGGACCAACTCAGCAAAACATTAACACACCAAGGGTCTAAACTGAAAAGTACTTTGAATCGGGTGTTACACCTCTATTGTATATAAAATATTTTAAAGTTGTGATTCCATTCGTTTTCCTCTGTGCTGATTTTCTAATATCAAAACCAGATCTTAATGCATATCCTTTATACCACTTAATAGCATCTTTTATATCTTTAAAAAATGAACCTATATGAGGTATCCAACTAGCTTCAACCTCTGGAATCCAAAAGAAATAACCATCAAATCCAATGAATTGTTTGCAAGATCCATATTGTGCTGCAACATTGTAACTTTGAATTACAAATAAAGAATATACCACCATGTTAACATATAATCAGAATAATTTGAATTCATATGATTTTAATAATAAAACACTGCATTGTTGTATGCTCATTATTCTATAATAATAATAATATGCAGTAACATGAACATATCAACAACATTAAGTTAATAATTGATATTAATAAATATATGTTATATATATATATATATATATATATATATATATATATATAATATGAGAATAAATGATATCAGTAAAAAATTACCCTAGGTTTCCATCACTACTAGAAAAACAGCCTTTTACGACGCGCAATGCGTGTCGTAAAACGCTCAGACGACGCGCAAATGCGTGTCAAGGAAGGCCCTATCATAACGAGAGACGAGACGCTTTTGTGCGTCGTCTATTTACGACGCGCATTTACGACGCGCAGTTACGACACACATTTACGACGCTCATTTACGACATGCAATGCGTATCAAGGAAGGCCATGTCATAAAGGAAGACGACACGCATTTGCGTGTCGTAACCTTACGACGCGCGTTTAGGACACGCATTGCGTATCATTAAAGCCCTTGTCATAAATGAAGATGACAAGCATTTGTGTGTCATAAAATTCAACAACCATTTACGATATGCATATTCAACGTGCCTTTACGATACTCATTTATGCATAATACAAAAATATATTAACAAATATATACCAAAACAATCAATTTAATCCAATAACATCATGTCAAAAAAATTGTAATACATTGATATTAAGGGGATCTGATTGTACATTGTTATTAAGAGACTTTCCCAAACTATATAACCTAATACTACATTGCTATTAAGGGGCATCTTCTTTTTTCAGGTATCATGTCCACATCATAAGCTTTATTGCTCTTTTCTTTTTTAACAATAGGCGCCACAACAGTTAATGTATCTCTATCTCCTCCTTCCTTTGTAGCTTGGTCAAGAGCATCATGTCCACCCTACAGAGTAATGAAATAAAAATAATGTAAAAGAGAAACATGTAGTCTAAATGATTCAAATAAGAACAAACTGTGTTTCAACAAATTGTGTATGATAAACACAAATGGGCCTCTACTTAACAAACTGCAGTGATGAAAGCATGAAAATAACAAAAAAAATACAAAATGCATAACAATGAACATGTTTTAGATAACATATGAGTTGCAAAACAGAAAATAGACAAATAGAAAGGCGAAAATAAGAGGAAGTGAAAGAAGAAAACATATAGGCATCATAATAAGACCACATAACCTGTTACTTGCAAGAGACACACAGAGCAGAATATCTTTGATTCCAGGTTGACCAAAATAAATGAACATCTTGAGAAATACATTTTGATTCATGAATTGGGATAAAAAGTGGTTGCATATTTCATTTAATAATACACTTTGATTCATGAATTGGGATAAAAGTGACACATTACCTCTGTTTCCAGCAATTAATACTTAGGCTCCAAGTATATTATCCTTTGTTTCTAGTTTTTTGTTCTCCATTCATACCTCTTCATCTTTCTTTCCCGCTCTTCTGTTTATGAGTAAAAGAAGGTAATTCAAACAAACTGTATATTATAGTTTTTTTTTAAAGAAAATGTTTATTACATGAAAATTAATAAGTTTACCCACTGCCCACCAGTCAATAGCACTGGAGTGGCCAGCTCCTGTTATGATTTCCTGAAATATCATCATAATTTCAAAGGGTAAAATAAATTCCATAAATAAGCTAAATTACATAAATTCCCTTGAGTACTTTTCATACCGGAGCAATGTATTCTTCTATGCCAACAAATGAATTAGATTGTGTAGAAGGTTCTGCAACAAATGTCGGTGGTGGTTGGCTTCTAGATCTTCTCCTTTTAAGCTGAGGATGTTTTATAACCTGCAAAATTAAAATTAACATGAGACAAAAATAATAATAATAATAATAATAATAATAATAATAATAATAATAATAATAATAATAATAATAATCCAGAATCTTGTAAGAATATCAGTTAAATTGTTTAGATAGAAGAGCACATATTACATACTTGGGGTTTACATTGTGTTCTGAATGATAAATCAAAGTCACTCAATACAACATGTCCATCTGTTTGAAGTAATATATTCTCTGGTTTCAAGTCCCTATAGATGATACCTGAAAAAAAACGGAAATTGAAATGAAAGGTGTAGGGGTAAAATGGGAATATAACAAATTAACAATGCAGATAGCAATTAAATGAGATTGGATGAAGAGATACCTAAACGATCACCTAAGGGAGAAAGTCCATCAAGAATAGTACGTTCCAAATAATCAGCTATTTTTGCATGTTTGAAGAAAGGATGCTTCAAGAGCTTCTCAAAAGAGGGACGTTTCTTTGGGTCTTTCACTAAACAAGCAGCCACCATTTCTTTAACCTCTCAATTCATAATTTGATCAAACATTAAAAAATTAAATTAGACATGCTTCATGAGCTAATTATTATATTTATACCCTTGCCCGCGAGCAGGAGGAGCCCTTGGAGCAGATTTCTTTAATTATTATACGAGCTGCCTATAATTGTAGGAATTAAGAAAAGTAGATTTGACCAGAGATATAGTCAACCTAAGAAGATAATACATATAGAAATTATAAATACATGATGAATCCACTTCAATGTTTTATTCAGCGATTTCACCTGAAACATGAAGCTACAAAGATGAGACACGTTCACTAAAAATATAAGTTGTTTAGTGATTTCTAAAAAATCATGAAACGGGTTCTTTGGTGATGAAAAGCATCTTATACTACAAGAGGTTCAATTAAGAGTTGGCTTAAAGAATAACTGAAAAATCATCTTTGAAGACTTCTGTAAAAAGTTGAGGAGAGATGAAACTAATTCTTAAGTTGCAGCTGATTATGTACATAGTGAAAGTACTAACCTGTTCATAAACAGGGAAAAATATCAATTTTGGAAATCACTCTAAAATTGGTGGCGGATGTGGCGAAGGATAAGATCGCCACCATTGAAAGCACTCTAAACTTTGCATAGAGCACTCCTTTGAACAACCGGTGACAGATTTAAGTGATATCAACAACTTCTCAAAGGGCTTTATAAGATGAGTATCAAAATGAAATCGAATAGGGCGATTCTTTGACAAAATTGATATTTGAAAACGAGTGACAAAAAAGAGATGTGCAATACCTTGAATTCAGCAGAAGTCTTGGAGGATTCTTAGATAGATCACATACAGGATACTTCGTGACCTAGCTCTTTTGGTTGTGTAATCGAACCGAGCATCGAGCTTGATTGCAGTTAATGGATAGGCAATACGAAAGAGGGGGAGAGAAAGATGAATAAAATACATCGCTTCTAATTTCGTCTCTTGTCTCGATCTAAGATACGAACCTAAAACCTGGGAAAAATGAAAAACCACAGAAATCGCCTGAAAACAAAATCAAATCCACCTGGTGGAGGGGAAGAAGGACCAGAAGAGGCGGTGAAGGTTGGAGGTGGATGAGGGGGCGGAGACCCCTTGTCGATTTCGTGAAGACTAGTGAACGATGGAAAGCGAGTTTAGGGTAGAGGAGATCATGAGGCGCGTTTTCTAAGAGGGAAGAAGACATCTGATCGATTAAATGAAGAATGAAGGTATGGATTTTGGAGGCTGTGGTTGTTGATCGATAATTAAGAAAGGGCAGAACGAGATGCAGGAAGGGTTTAAACATACCATTTTTACGATCTCTTTGTAAGCATGAGAAGTTGTTGTGAGCTCTAAGAATTATGTGAGGTTCGGTTCAAAGCCCCAGTATCTTTATTGATTATGTGAAGATGGGCCATATGCGAAGATAAAAAGATGATGACGGACCATATCTGAAGAATTTTGGGCAAAGTTATGGTTAGATCTGATTCAAAGAGTATCTATAGATATTAAAGCGGCCATGAAATTTGCAGAGCTTCATTAATTAGGTCAAGGAAAAGAGAAGGGGTTTTCGCCTGTTAGAAGATGAGAATAAGGCGGGGTTTTAATTTTTTGGGATTTGATTTCCCCCCTTAGCTATTAAAGATGGAGAACGCGCGTTTCATGAAAATTTTATAAAGCGACATGCATAGACGACACACCTTTTATGCTGAGTGCCCTCCGTGTTTTTATTTTTTTTGTTCCGACACTAATTTTAAGGGCACGCAAAAATGCGCGTCCTAAATCCTTCAAACTTTAAAAGAGATGACATTATTTTTAGGGCACACGCTTTTGCGTATCGTAAATCACTGCGTGTCATGGTCCGCGCGTCATTAAAGGCCTATATTCTAGTAGTGCATTTGATTTTCCTCATTATGTAGAATCTCTGAATCACCATAACTAAATTGATAAGTTTCTTCTTCGTGCTGATTATTTCCGATGTCATGCATATCTAAATCATCCATAACTGAAAAACATATTGATTGAATGAAAGTTTAAAATCAAACAATGAAACAGATTATGTATTGCCAAATAACATATTATAGTTTAAATTGTGTTCTAGGTTAAACAGATTTGATAGATGATGTTTGATTGCTGAAAATCACGAATCATACATATATAAATTGGAGAAATTGCTACTATCTTGATGACTCAATCAGTTCATGTTATTAGGTTAAAAATTAAATATGTTGTATGCAAGCAACAATGAAAGCAACGATAACTCAAACATTGATTAATTGAATAAATCAAGATATAAAGTAAAAATTAACAAAATTACCTTGGGGTTTTGATTGATTTTCCTCATTATGAAGAATATATGAATCATTAGAACCGAACTGATGATTTTCTTCATCGAGATGATTATTTTCGATGTCATGCATATCTAAATCATCCATAATTGTTATCCTTATTGATATATATATATATATATATATATATATATATATATATATATATATATGTCCAGTATTCTATAATAATAATAATATGCAGTAACATGAACTTATCAGCAAGATGATGTTAATGAAAATCAAAGAGATGACATATTCCTGAAAAACATATTGATTGAATGAAAATTTAAAATCAAACAATGAAACAAATGATGTATTGCCAAATAACATGTTATAAGTTAAGTTGTGTTCTAGATTAAACAAATTCAATCAATCAATATGATGTTTGATTGCTGAAATCACGAGTCATACATATATAAATTGGAGAAATTGCTAATAGCTTGATGATTCAATCAGTTGATGCTACTAGGTTAAAAATTGAAAGCGATGAAAACTCAGACCTTGATCAATTAATGAATTCATGATGTTGAGTAAAAATCACAGCTTGAAAGATCGTAAACAATTATTAAAGATGAAGATTAGAAAAAATCACTTAACACTTGAACCTCTACCTTGGATGAAATCGATGATCACAGAGTTAAAATTGATCACAATCTTGTAATGAATTGCTAATGTCGGTAGATAAACACAACCCTCAATCACTAAGATTATCAATTACAGATGTGGAAGAATGAAGAACATAAACTCGAAAAACATAAAAAAAAATGTGACTTTAAAAGCTATGATTTAGCATTGTTCGATCAATGTCCAACTCAAATCGATTATTGGTTGAAAGATTAGAAGATTTAACGAGATAGAAGATCGATCAGAAGAGTGAATTAAAGAACAAAGAATGTTGAGCAAACGAATAACTTGGTAGAAGAATCGAAGCAGATGATTTATTGATGACGTGAAGATGACGTTAACATTATATCAGATCTGATCATCTTAAATTTAACCAAGTGACTAATCTACCCCTAATTAACTAATCAATTAGATTAATTAGTGTTAATCATGTTTTATGAGCCACAAGATCAGTTTTGATCAGAGACTAAGATTTGGTCTCCATGTCTCACAAAATATAGGTGATCTCAAATGAACCTCTACCTATATATATATATATATATATATATATATATATATATATATATATATATATGCAAAAGTTCAATAGATAAGCATTATTAATCAAGGAACCAATCCAAAGCGTCAGAATTTAAAACGATCAACGACAAAAGGAAGGGGTGTAGACTTTTATTATGGACGCACAAACATCAGATTATAACAAAACTCACTTCCTTTTTTTTAATTAAATTTTTTTAGGTCATGTTTTTTTATCGAAAAAAAAACTGAATATACCGTTGTTAATGATTTTTCGTCATCTTTCCATAGATAACCATATTGATATATTAAAAATGATTTTTTTTCAAAAAAACGCACTTCATTTTCTTTGTTTTTTTAAAAGTTCCGGTCTATTTTTTATTGAAAAAAAAATTAATAAATATATCAAATTTCATATTTTTTTGGTATTTTTCAAACATAGATTCATATTAATGTTAAAAAATGAACTTTCAGTTCCGATTCACATTATAAATTTGCTCAGATTCACAGTGTGAACAATAGTAAGTGAGATTCACATTGTGAATTCTGAAAACTAAATTATATATACAGTTCAGATTCACAATGTGAATAAATCCATTTGTTGATTCTACAAAACTAATTTACGAGTAATCAAAACGTTAAAATATTATGAAACTACATAAAAATATATTTCGATTCATATGTAAATTTCATAAATTTGTAAATGATGAAAGAGTTGAAATAGTAATGTAACGAACCAATTTTTCAAAAGAAAATTTTCATTTTTAAATAGTCAAATCCTTTCCACTAAACCATAAAATCTCAAATACATTTGTTTTCAAATTCATAACATCAATAACATTATTCCAAACATCAGAGTGTCCTATAAAAACGTCTGACAGAGAGTGCATGCCGCGTCATCAAGCCTTGCCCTTGCCCTTAGGCTCAGATGTACCTGAAACAAATCCACAAACTGTAAGCTAATGCTTAGTGAGTTCCCTAGAGCATACCCCACAAAATCCACATAATCACATAATCATATTAGCTATAAAAGCTACATAAACCACATAAGCCATGCATACAACATATAGGGAAGCCGTGAAAACCCTCCAGTGTCTTACACCTAGTGTCACTGGAACCCCCACGTGGTCTTCACATCCTGCCATGGGAACCCCCACATGGTCTTCACTAACTGCCATGGGAACCCCCACATGGTCTTCACTACCAAGAAAATATCATACAAACTAAACATGCAAGTATACTAGGGTGCCATGGAAACCCTCCAAGGTCTTACACTAAATGTCATGGGAACCCCCACATGGTCTCAATCTACTGGCACGGGAACCCCCCGGGGTCTTCCATACAAATGTCATAACGCATAATCAATCGACAATCCACATATCATAAAATGGGCCGGCCTTGGTGCCTTAGACCCATTGGTATGGTGAGAAAACTCACATCTCGTGAATGTTGAACTGACAAGATAAGATCTGATATGTCCAACACACAACTCCAACTCAACTGCTTATAAGAGTGTCCTATAAAAACGTCTGACAGAGAGTGCATGTCGCGTCATCAAGCCTTGCCCTTGCCCTTAGGCTCAGATGTACCTGAAACAAATCCACAAACTGTAAGCTAATGCTTAGTGAGTTCCTTAGATCATACCCCACAAAATCCACATAATCACATAATCATATTAGCTATAAAAGCTACATAAACCACATAAGCCATGCATACAACATATAGGGAAGCCGTGGAAACCCTCCAGGGTCGTACACCTAGTGTCACTGGAACCCCCACGTGGTCTTAACATCCTGCCATGGGAACCCCCACATGGTCTTCCTGCCATGGGAACCCCCACATGGTCTTCACTAACTGCCATGGGAACCCCCAAATGGTCTTCACTACCAAGAAAATATCATACAAACTAAACATGCAAGTATACTAGGGTGCCATTGAAACCCTCCAAGATCTTACACTAAATGTCATGGGAACCCCCACATGGTCTCAATCTACTAGCACGGGAACCCCCCGGGGTCTTCCATACAAATTTCATAACGCATAATCAATCGACAATCCACATATCATAAAATGGGCCGGACTTGGTGCCTTAGACCCATTGGTATGGTGAGAAAACTCACCTCTCGTGAATGTTGAACTGACAAGATAAGATCTGATATGTCTAACACACAACTCCAACTCAACTGCCTATAAGCATCATGTGATTAACTTGTCACAATCCCGAAATACCATAAATACCCTCAAGGTGAACCCTGGTCAACCTCGGGTCAAAGTCAAGGTCAACAGTCCATGTTGACCCCAACACGTCGAGTGCATCCAACAACTCGCCGAGTTACCTGAGTAACCCATCAACTCGCCGAGTTACCTGTGTAACTCGTCGAGTTCCTTAATGTCCAGAAGACTGAAAACTCATGCAGACCGAAACTCTAGTCCTTCATCGAAATCACTCTGAAAGGACTCGACGAGTCCCTTCATTCCCTTTTTATGTTCAGACGTTTTTAAGCTACCCCAAAGCTCCAAATTGCATATCTAGCCTCATAGGGCATGGTTTCCACGTAATGTTGCAAACTTTACGTGCATACAAGCTCTTAAATGTCAAAACCAAGCTAAGGGAGGGGTTTAAGCCAAAAAGGAGGACCAATGCTTAATAAATTTCTAGATCTGAAGTTACAACTTCAGATCATGCCCAATACCCGAAATAATCTACAAATGTACTAAAAATGACCTTAAACCTAAGAAAAATGGGATCTAATGCTAGGATGACCAAGGTAATAGCTTGTTACTTTCAAATGGAAGCCCAAACGATGTAGATGTTGGATCTACAAGCTCCTTCCCGTTCCAAACTTCTCAACCTTCAAACTTCTTCAACAAGTTGCACCAAAAACACTCTCTTAGCCTCTCAAGCACAAGGAAGTAGCAAAGAACGGCTAGGGTTTCTTCTCATGGTAATGAAGTGGTAAGAGAGGCCACAAGAGGCAAATTAAGTCCTTTATATAGGGTACAAACCCTAAAAATTAGGGTTTTCCTTTACAGCGGCTACTCGTCGAGTCGGGGCCTTCCGAATCGTCGAGTAGGATCTAAATCCCGCGTCCTCATAAATGATCTCTACTCGACGAGTTGGAGCTCCCGAACTTGTCGAGTCCTAGCATAAAACCCTAAAACTTGGAAAATTTTAGATGATACTTGGAACAGGTGTTACAAGTAAGTCAGATTCACATTGTGAATCATAAAATTGAAATATATATAGTTTAGATTCACATTGTGAATCTAAGCTGATCGAGTTTTTTTTACTCGATGTTGATGTTTTTTACTAAAAATTGAGATTTTTGGTGTAATTAGTTTTTTTTTTTATAAAAGTAAACTAAAATATTGAAAAAAAAAACAACAAAACGAAGTGGGTTTTTTTTCGAAAACACAAAAGTTTGTTTTTTATATATCAATGTGTATCTCTATGCAAAGAAGACGAAAAAACGTGAACAACGGTATATTTGGTTTTTTTATTTAGATAAAAAAACGTGGCTTAAACAAAAATTAAATGAAAAAAGAGGTTGTTTTTTGGTAAAGATTTGAGTTTTATGGTATAATCCGGCGTACGTGCGTCCAATGTACAAATATACATTCATTCCTTTGGCCATTGATCATTATGATTTCGACGCTCACGATTGGTTTTTAGTTCTTTTTTAATAATGTTTCTCTCTCTCTCTCTCTCTCTCTCTCTCTATATATATATATATATATATATATATATATATATATATATATATATATATATATATATAGTGGTTCAAATGAGAACTATAAAAGATTAATAACCCTAAGAACATCAATTAATTAGTAAATATTTACATGATACTCTTATTAAACATGTTAAAATCCTATTTTTTGTGTTTTTGGTACGAAAAGAGCAAACTTATAATTTTTACAGTCTAATATTTTCATTCGTATATGCTCTCATATTTTAACAAAAAAATTATATAAAAAACAAATTTACACAGTCCATTTACAGTTTAATGCAAAAAAATTCACAACTAAATACAAACTGTTTTACAATAATTCACTAATTCAAAGAAGTCAAAAACTCAAACTCTACCACCACATGCCGCCACCAACCACCTGTATCAACATAGTAGCCGTCATTTCTTCCAAATCAGATATGTAAATAAATCATGCATTAACAACTTAAATACTACATTCACAGTCTAATAAAGCCTATTAATTCACTCGTTTTGAATTTAATGCAAAACAATTATAAAAACTAGTGGATTCTTACAAATTTATCCAACAAAAAAATTAATATATTCATAAGAAAATTAATACATAAATCATTCATATTTTAACACAAATTATAAAAAATCACAACACAAAATGCAGTCAATTCACAATTTAAACAGAAAATTCATAGTTTAATGCAGTCAATTCATATTTTTAAACACAAAAATCACATTTTAATATAAAAAAAATCACAGTTTAATATAGTCAATTTCACAATTTAAAAAAATATTCACAGCTTAATGCAGTTAATTCAAAGTTTAAAATACAAAAATCATAGCTTAATACGTAAAATTTCACAGTTTATTACAATAAATTTACAGTTTAATACAAAAAAGATAAATTCACAACAATAATATCAATTTGAAACTCTTAATACAGATAATTCACAGTTTAATATACAAAATTCACAGCTTAATATAATAAATTCACAATTTAAGACAAAAAAATTTATATTCACAATCATATTTTCAAGTTAAAACTTATATTTATACGTTAATATATGAAGACATTTATATGTATTAAATTGTGAATTTAATATATTAAGTCGTGAATAAATTCACAACGTAATACACAATTCACAGTTTAGTATACAAAATTCACACCTTAATATAATAAATTCACAATTTAATACAAAAAAATTTATATTTATAACCATATTTTCAAATTAAAACTTATATTTATAAGTTAATATAATAAATACAAAATTCACAGTTTAGTATACAAAATTCATCAGATACACTGTGTGCACCACACAAATTCATAGTTTAATAGAGCTTTTCAGAACTCTCATTCACAGTTTAATAATCAGTATATGACTCTCATTCATGGTATTTATAACATAAAAACATATTAATTCACGCATTCACAGTAACTAGCTTAAATAGAACTAAACAATAGTTGAAACATTAAAACATCACACTTCAAAGCTTAAAAAAATCAAAATTCATATTATTTGAGAAAACACTAACATAATAACATACATTTTAAATTCAATTCATAGCTTAACAACAATAAAACATAAAATGTGAATAAAAACTTGATGCAAACATTACAAAAAAACATAATAAACATGGATTAACAACTTAATAGTAGAAAAAACTATGTTTGACAAAAGTAAACAACAAATGAGAGATTAGAACATTAAATTCACAACTTAACAAAAAGAAAAAAAAAGTAAACAAATATCAACATACTAGATGTGTTTCAACAGAGATCAGAGATAAATAGATAGAAGATATTTGACAGTGTTTAATAGAGCAGCGAAGCAACATAAGTGGTGGCGGTTGTTGGCGGTTGCTGGCGGTCTCAGATTTGGTCTCAATCTTACTGGAGCTCTGTTAGATTTCTTGAGATCTTGTGGCAGCTAGAGTTTCAGTTGTGAACATGCTTCAAAACGGAGAACAAAATCCAAATAAACAAAAAAGCTTCAGAGGTTTTAGACATGGAGAACATGAAGGAAATCATATTTGAAGCTTTTAAATTAGATCAGAAGGAAATCGGATCTGGAATCACGAGCATGAACAACAAAATGACACAAAATTATGGAGGCGAAGCAGATCTGGAGGGGTAGTGAAGATACGATGGTGATAACTTATCTGGAGGTGGTACATGTCGGAGGTTCGACGATGATGTCGGAATCTCGAATAGAAGGCCATATAGTCCGGTATGGATGTTTCACCGGAGATCTGATGTAGATCTAGTCAGATCTGATGTAGATCTAGTCAAATCTAATGTAGATCTGGTGATTTCTGATGTAGATATAGTAAGAGCTGATGTAGATATGGATTCATCGAGGATCGGAGAAGGAGGTGTGATTTATGGCGATAGCAGAAGTAGGCGGAGGAGATGGTGGTGGCAGTGGTGTTGTCGACATAGGAGACGGCGGTGGTAAGTCGTCGGAGCAAATTCGTCGGTGGTAAGGACGGTGGAAATGGTGGATGTTATCTGATAAAGGAAGAAGCAAAGATGAAGATATGTTTGAAGTCAGGTGAAAGAATGGTCTAATGATGTTTATGTTAGAAAGATGAAGTGATGTTTTTAAGAGGTTCTTAGGGTTCTTAACCTTTAGATGTTCTCATTTGAACCTTTACCTATATATATATATATATATATATATATATATATATATATATATATATATATATATATATATATATATATATATATATATATATATATACTAGGTTAAAACCCGTGGAACCCACGGGTATTAATTTTAAATAGAATTAAAAAATTAATTATGTAAAATAACATAGAAACTATAAAAATCGTAATTATTAATCATAAATTTGTAAAAAGTTATTTTTATCTAACATTGATATTTTGTTTATAAGTTTCTTATTGTTATTTTAATTAAAATATAAAATTGTTTCCTTATCATAATATATTTGAAAACAATTTCTGAAAACTACAATAATGATAAAATACAAATGAAAACTTATACAATTACCATTCCACATCATGTTCAAAACTTGTATAGTAGATGAACTCTTGACATTTGACAAGATATCGCCATAAATGCCCCCGGGAAATGATTTTCTGACATGTTTCAGTACCCCTCCATTCTTAACATCAATCTCATATGTATTGAACTCGGATAAATCGGAAACTCCTACATCGAATCAACTGATGAACGTCCATGCTGTTAATGAAATGAAAAATAATATATCAAAAAAACTGCTACTACAATCAAGAAACAAGAAAAGATAATATAATTGGTGAATTGGTCAAACCCTTCATTTATGTAGTCCTTCCAAAGAATCTCTCCATCAATGTTGGAAATGGCATAAAGACATGTGCCACCATAAACAAAAATTGGACTATCCAGATCAAGCTTCAAATTGGCCTGCAGATGATTACCATGTCACTATCCAGATCAAGCTTCAAATTGGCATGCAGATGATTACCATGTCACTATCCAAGGCATATATTTATACTGTATAACTTAAAAAGGTAAAAAAAAATGTATATTTCAGATAATAAAATATAACACTTCAGAAGAAACATGATCTTAGTAGAATTGAGTTGTATAGGTGCAACAAAATATAAGAATGCTTAACAATGTTACTCACTGGAATTGTTAATAATGCCTTGGAGGACTTTGAGCCTGATAGAAAAGACTCCCACACCATTTGCCCATCAGGAAGGTTCTATGCTCTTAAAATACTCCCCTCTGATGATGATGACAGTGTAATGACATCTGAAGAATCAGAGATGATACTTTAGCAATAACAAACATTTAATTACATCATAAATGATAAAACTAAGGGTAGTGCTTGATAACATTCCTAACTTCCTATTTTTTAGTTTATTTATCATTGTAGCAAATAACCATACCATATACATATCTCACAACATATGCAATCAAGAAACCAACTTTTTGAAAAATAAGAAATCACCCTCTTTTATATAACAATGTGGAAAACTATGTAGGTTTTCTTATAGATTTAAGCAAATAAGGTAACACAGTATCAGCTTTGTCTTTTGTTTTGTCACAATACATTACTGATATCCTTTTTAGCTATAGCCCAATCAGTTATTAGTATTTTTCATAATTATTTCAAGCTTAATAAAGATTGATATATGATCGTCAAGTATTTACTTTTACAGATTATTAACAAACTTCTCTTAGGATAATAAACAAAAAATATAGTGAGCTAATAATAATAACTCATAAGAAAAGAAAGGTCTGTTGCCTGTAAAAAACTATTTTGCTAAGCCATGACTAAATTGTTTCATCTCGTTTCCTTTTTTACCCTTTAATCTATTGTACAAGTTAATCACATGGTAAAAGGATAAGAGCAATAACCAAATAACTATATATCCTGTTCAACACTCCCAAAATTCTGGTAAACAAGTCTGCAAAATTGTGGGCTGACTTTTAGTAAAAAAAAAAGAGTACTCACCATACGTAGATAATCATTAGTGAATCAACAAATTCGAAACCCTATAACTATATTATTATCAACTAATTCGCAGAGCAGAATTCTGAACAAATTTTGGGGCTTAGGATGATATATGGCTATAAATATGACGAAGTTTGGGATCACTACGATCAAACACTAACAGACATACAGAAGAAGAGTAGTTACTCCACAGCGAATTCGGAATCAAAAAGACAAATAAAAAATCAGAAATCGAACCTGTTGGCGGAGCAAGCTCTGGAGTGATTGGCGAGCTTCAGTTTCTTAAGCTTGAATTGAAACATGGAAGAGAAGCTATCAGACCTGAAAATGGTGATGAGTCCGAAGATTTCAATCGTTCTCTCTATTTGCTTTTCAATCGAACACTTTTGTGGAAGTGGTGGAGCGGTCGATCATTGTAAAGCCTAAATCCAGAGAAAGTTTGCGACGATTAGGGTTTACATCAAAAGATATGGAGTGATCACTTCCTGATTTAACGGGATTACGCTTGTTGATGAGCGTTTGAAGATTATATAATTTGCTGATTTTACAGGATTGATGAATACACTGAGTTCTAAAACGTTTGAACGGGATCGACAGCATGAGGGCAGAACAGGAATTTTACATTGATGATTTGAGCGGGAAAATTAGATGGGAGGATGCTTAGCTATTGCCACGTGGCAAAAAAAAGTATTGTTTTATTAGAATAGAGGATATATATATATATATATATATATATATATATATATATATAGTCTTAGGTTATTCTATTCAAAGTAATTATTCTGTTATTATATGCATAAATGTGGGCCAATCAAATTTACTTATTTTAAGAAAGTGATTAATATATATTATTGAATTAAATATAATTGAAAATATCATCTTAATTAATTACAAGGGTAATTTAGTCAATTAATATAGATTTAATAAAGGAAAATTGCATTTTTTAAGGGATCATAGATTCTATTAATTTTAAAAATCCGATTTTACGAATTATAATTCTTTTAATTCGGACATTCTGACAGAATATGTTTATGAGTATATTCAAAAATAAAAATATTCTTGAACCATAAATAATACAAATATTCTTGAACCTATTTCTTGATCATGAATTTAAAAACTTCTTGTAGAATAACAAATTCTTGAATAATCAATTGAATAATTAAAAACAAAAAATACATTATTTTTTATAGAATACGGGTAACAATTGTTAAAAATTACATTTATTGTTAAAGAATAAAACTAAAAAACAATCAAAACGGGAAAGAAAAACATTAAAATCTAACAACGACTAATACATTCTAAAAGGATAATGTGGTCCGTTTCAATTTTGTGGTCTATTCTTCAAGCATCAACCTCTGTGATTCCAACAGAATTGGAATTCGTCATTCCATTCCAACAGAATTGGAATTCGTGATTCCATTCCAATAGAATTGGAATCTCATCAATATCATCCATTGAATCATCTACATAAACATACTTGATACCGTTTCAGAATTCAACATTGTCAAGATCCTGCACTGTCCACATAAATAAAGTGTTAAATCAGGAAAAAAAAATTCGAATGAAAAGCAAATTAATCATTTCCTGTCAAAAGAATCAGAAAAAAGACAAGCTATGGAGATGATCAAACCTTTGCAACAAGAACTTACGCTCCTTGAATTGACTCCTAGCTTTTACCATAATTTCCATTCGGCTTCTTGAATGCCTTTCAATTTGAGCTTCCACCCATATCAAAGGCTTCACCTGAGTGCTAAGTCGATATGTCATCAGGTCAAATGCTCCATCAGGAGGCACAAATGATATTGTTCTAGTGGAACTTAATGTCATCCAACTTAATGAAAATGAAAAACTATCTATATATAATATATGTGATATAAGATTTAAAAGAAATTGAAAAATTACTGGTGGAACTTAATGTCATCCAAGTCAATGGCTTTTCCCTTTGTAGTTCGTCCTTGTGCCTCCAATATTACTCTATCATTCAGTCCAAGCTTACACTCAGGCATACCAATGTAACAAGAATGAAATAAAGAACCCTAATTTGAAACTCACCTGGAAAATTAAACAAAAAAACAACAAATGAAAAACTGAAATCAAGAACCCTAATTTGAACAAAGAAGATGGAGATGGTCGATGAAGTGATTAGTAGTGTTCACAAGGGATATATGGAACCTATAATTGGAGCAATACCAGAAAAAAAAAAAAAAAAAAAAAAAAACTCTTTCAATCTCTTCTTTTTCGCTCCTGTAGCCGAGATCGACATGGTGCAGGGGCTTCTTAGGCTTGTTTTTTCGTCAAGATAGGAGGGCCGGTGAGGCTTGATCGGTGGCAGCAGCCTCCGGTTTCTTCTTTGGTTTTTCCAGCGAACAATAAAGATGACTAGAGAGAGAAAGAGAGCTTCTCCAAAACGTCTATTGAAGTCGGTAAAAGGGGATGTGTTGTTGGCTTCTCCAATCTCGCCATCTGGTTGGGATAGAAGGGCGGTGGATACGGTGGTCGGAGGAGCAAGAGGGTAGGGTGGCGGCCGGTAGTGGGAGGCATAAGGATGGAGGTGACGGCTGGAGATGGTTTGATTAGGGTTACGGTGGTTTTAAAAAGCCTAGTAGCTGAAGTCAATGGTTACCATAATTATAGGATATTATTTGTGGAAACTAATTATCAAATTACCTAATATTTTTTTGGAAAAGCAAAAAAAGCCACCCAAATAGACTAAATTGGACACCCAAATAGACTAAATTGGATATGATGTTTATGGTCAAAAATAACCTTATAAATAAAGAAAGCAACCTATATGCTATAGCAATGCAAAAAAATACCAACGTAAGGATTTGAGCATGGATTTTTTAAAAAGAGTGGCAGGCGCATTCCCAGTCAAACGATAAGAGAAATTATACCTAATGTTAGTAATACTAATATGTTATATATATGCATAAACTCTAACATACTCAAAATTGAGACCCAACGGTTACATCGCCCAGCCCCCAGTCCCCCACCCAACGTATTGGCCGGGCCTGAAGATGACACTACACCCTCGCCCTAACACCCTAAAAGATTAAAGATGTAAAAAAAACATATGGACCAACAAAGTACAAAACTAACAGCCCAAATTGGTACAAAACTAATTGTCCTTCTCTATTTAAACGGGCTTTGGCCTATTCTATTTCCTGAATTGTTCATAAATTTGTTAGACACATCATCACATATGAAATCGAGTCTATATTGTTTCCTTATTGGGCTGGGTTCATTTTACGGGAGTCCTTTCAAGTGACAGATTTAAAATTTGAATTTAAATTTTTATATCTTACAAATCTCCGTAAATTGTTTTCAAAAGAATTAGTTTTGTCATTTAGAAAGATGTTTTCAAAAGAATTAGTTTTGTCATTTAGAAAGAGCTAAGGACACAACTTATTAGCCGAAAAGATAGTTTGATGGATGTTAGTGATAAACTGTCTATAAAAAAAATTGTTAAGTTTAGTTGATAAATTATTGAGAAATATAAAATAATTCAATATTATATGATAAAAATGACAGAAAAGTGAGTTTTTTTTTTTTTTTGGTGAAAAGTCTTTTTCATCTTTTATGTTTGTGTGTAAAAAACCATTTGAAGAAAAAATTATTTGTTTTTCAAAAGACAAATGACATAAAAATTTCCTTTTAACATTTTTTTTTCAGAAAACAAAAAAATAGCTTGTAACGTCCTAAATTTCAAACCAAATTTTATTTTTAAAATATAAGTAAAACATTCATTTTCCATAAGATAAAATACCAAATAGTTTTAACACCACAAAATAATAACAAGTAAGATCAATGTATCAAAATCATTATAAGTAGCGAAAGTCTAAAAACATAATCGTCTGCGATGCGCATGCGTCATAGTCAAACTGGAGCTTTCCCACTGCCAGAAACAAAACCTGAAAAATATTTAATCCACAATTATAAGTATAAAGCTTAGTGAGTTTCGCAAAATACAATATATCACATCACATATACAATGTATGCATGTATGGCTCATAGTCTACACCTCAATGAGCCTATATGCACAAAGCCATCATCCCAAAGACTTGTAAAACTTCCACACATCATCAACTTCTAGTCAACACCTCAGTGGGCCCATAGGCCCAAGGCCATCATCTCAATGACCACTTGAACTTCCAACTACATATCCTAGTGGGGCTGAAGGCTTACAACTAACTTCCCCTAGGATCCAACACATAACAAGTAGATAGACTAACCAACCTAAACATATAGTTATATCCAAACAGTAACCACTCAACTACCATACTGGACATAAAATGTTACACATAGTATAGTGAGAAAACGCACCTGAGTCAAAGAGCTGAAACAACACACTCTCGATACTCGACATATCAACAAATGAACCACCTAGATTGCAATAAGAAATCAAACCTTAATATATGACCAAGAGTTCAACTGGTCAAAAAGTCAACGATCAACTGGTCAAAGTCAAACAGTCAATGCGTTGCGACCCTATCCTTAGTCGTATGGCGAACATAAAATGACAAAATAGTTGTGACAGGCCATCGAGACACCCTTATGTTCGCGTCGTGTTTCTCAGTTATTTAGCCAACTTTCCATTAAGCTCTTAATCACTTAAGTCTAGAGACCAAATTCTCATATCTGATTCTTCTAAGCGACTTAATGGATAAAGTTTCCAAATTTATCTATATCTCTATCCCATGCAAACTCAAACTCAAACTCCAACTTATAAATCCTACCAAAGAGGCTTGAATCCTTTCAATGACAACAAAGGAGCTTAAAATATGCACTTATCAGATTCCCCATAAGTCCTAAGTCCAGAAGTGTAACACCCAGATTTTCAACACAAAGTACACCCATTTTTTTATATATAAAACATGAATCATTACAAATTTGGTGTACATTTGTATCCCAAATTAGTACAAGTAGTTATCAAGAGGATCTTACAATAACCTTGTGTAAGAATCCAAGTCGGGCGCTACTAACTCCACTTCATGTTACTAAGTTTACTTGAACCTAAAAGGCACACACGAGAAAACGATAAGCTACAACGAGCTTAGTGAGTAACCAAATCAACAAGATATAAATTAATTTCACAACTGAATATATCATTACTTTCTCAAACATATAACCCTAACATGTCTTCCAATCATTCAATACACAATATGATATGAGTGAAACAAAGTCTGTCATTTATCATTCATATTCAACTTACAGTCAAGTAAGTTACTATCAACTCCAACAAACCTCTCCTCATTAGTAATAAATACTATATATATATATATATATATATATATATATATATATATATATATATATTTCAAACTCCTCCAACCAACATTTCTCTTTCTGGTATTACAATCGTTCAAACGTTCACTACAACATATTCTTTCATGAGTATAGTATTCCAACCACCGAATTTACTATAAACCTACAATTCTCCAAATAATAATATTACAGCCACCAAGGCTATTATCATAATACAATACTAACATACAAGCATTTATACATTCTCATAACCCCATGGTGTTACAGTCACCAAGACCACCACGAATAACAAGTGCCAATACAGTGGTGTTACAATCACCAAAACCACCACAAATAACCGATCCCAATATCGTGGTGTTACAGTCACCAAGATCATCACTAATATTACCCCATGATATTACAGTCACCAAGATTATCATAACTAACATTATTCCATCACAATGGTTTTCCCAGCACCAAGTATACCACTAATAACTGATTCCCACACAATGGTAATTACAACACCAAGCATTCCACTAACTATTGATTCCCATACAGTAGTAATTCTAGCACCAAGCATACCACTAACAATTGATTCCAACATAGTGGTAATTATAGCACAAAGCATACCACTAACAACTGATTCCCACACAGTGGTAACTACAGCACCAAGAATACCACTAGTTCATTCTAAATAATCTACAAACATAACATTAAAAACACTAAATCCACCATTGACATTATAGCACAAAGCATACCACTAACAACCAATTCTCCCACAATGGTAATTACAGCACCAAGAATACCTCTAGTTCATTCTAAATAATCTACAAACATAACATTAAAAACACTAAATCCACCATTGACTTGCGTTCCTCGAATAATAGTATTACAATCACCCACACTACCATAAATTCAGTCCTATAGACTTATAATACAATGTCGTTCTTTCTATAATTCCATTAATGATACACAACCTTATCACATTACCTTACGGACAACAAAAATACTTTAGTCTGGCACATATATCTACACTAACAGTACACCAACATCCTGCCACCTAATAGATATATAATGTCAATAACCATGATATCAACATTCCACTTACTTAGAAGGTATAGTAGACTTACAGTCACATTAGTTACTATTAATTTCTATAACCTCTCTTGGGAGTAATTAATATTACATAAACTACTAATTCATCCAGTAATGATATTACAGCCACCAAGACTACCATCACTCTTCCACAACAATCCTTCAAATATAGCGTTACAAAAAATTAGTTCACCGTTAACTTGCATTTCTCCAGTGATGATATTACAACCACCAAGGCTACCATCATAAACTAATAATGCTAATCATTTCCATAATTATACTACTCTGGAACTTCCAAATACCCATTACTACTTCATATTTCTTAACAATATAAAAGTATGGCTTTCAGACATTAAGTCTGCCATTTACTTGAATTAACCAATATCAATCTACAAGTATAGTGCTACAAACACTAAGTCTGCCATTAACCTGTAATTCTCCAATACCAAACTACAAGTATAACCCTACATTCCAAATCTTAACATAAA